GATAGATAGACAGATGCATAGAGAGAGAGAGAGAGAGAGAGAGAGAGCTGCATAGATAGAATAGATATAGATGGATGGATATATATATATATATATAGATGAGATAGAGATAGATAGATAGATAGATAGATAGATAGATAGATAGATAGATAGACAGATAGATGCATAGATAGATAGATAGATAGATAGATAGATAGATAGATGCATAGAGAGAGAGAGAGAGAGAGAGAGCTGCATAGATAGATATAGTTATAGATGGATGGATAGAGAGAGATATAGATGAGATAGAGATAGATAGATAGATAGATAGATAGATAGATAGATAGATAGAGTTATAGAGATATAGTTATAAAGATGGATGGATGGATGGATAGAGATATAGATATAGATAGATGATAGATATAGTAGCCACCAAAAAAGCTAAAGCAATCCTAAATGGCATTAACAGAGGGATACAATCCAGATCAAGGGGGGGACTAATACCACTCTACAAAGCTTTAGTAAGGCCACACCTAGAGTACCAGTTTTGGTCACCACATTATAAAAAAAGATGTTGAGACTCTAGAAAAAGTGCGGAGAAGAGCAACCAGGACGATTAGGAGACTGGAGACTAAAACATACGACGAACAATTGCAGGAACTGGGCCTGGCCACTCTAGGGAAGAGAAGGACCAGGGGAGGCAGGAGAGCATCTTCCAATATTTGAGGGGCTGCCCCAGAGAGGAGGAGGAGTGGGGGTCAAGCTATTCTCCAAGGCTCTCAAAGGCCAGACAAGGAACAATGGATGGAAACTGAACAAGGAGAGATTCAACCTGGAAATAAGGAGAAACTTTCTGACAGGGACAACAATCAACCCATAGAACAGAAGTTGCCCTCGGAAGTTGTGGGAGCTTCATCCCTGGAGGCTTTCAAGAAGAGATGAGATAGATAGATATAGTTATATATATAGATAGACGGATGGATGGATAGAGATAGATAGATAGATAGATAGATAGATAGATGAGATAGACAGATAGATATAGTTATACATATAGATAGACGGATGGCTGGCTAGATATAGACAGACAGAGAGACAGACAGACAGACAGGTTACAGATTAGCAGGTATAAACCAGACGGTTGTGCAAACCAAGCCATCCTACCCGGTGTGGCCCAGGATAGTGGCATAGTGCAGAGGTCCTTGTCCTTTGCTGTCGCTCTGGTTAACGTTGGCCCCGTTTTGAAGCAAAAATTCACACGCCAGCAGCGAATTCTGCGCAAAAACAACGACACCAAAAAATATGACGTACCGTTGAAAAAGGAGAGGCGGGACCACCTGGGGAAGTCCCTCCCCCTGGGGGGACATCACTCAACAAGCCCCTCCTGTCAGGACCCCCGCCCCCAAGGAGTAGAAATCACTGCACATGCTCAGAGGCAGCGTAAAAGCTGTGGTTTGTTTGTTTTCACTGATGAGCAATGATACTTTTCTCATTTCCCAACACCCAAGTTTAGATTTCTTTTGTATTTTTCCGGGAATCCAATTAAGAGGTGGTCCTCGATTAATGACCACAATGGCGCCCCTCCCCCGAATTTCTGTGGTTAAGCGAGACAGCGACGTCCCCTCCGACGACCTTTTTGGGGGGGGAATCGACCCAGTGGCGAAATTAAATCCCACGGTCGTTCAGCGAACCGGGCTCCCCCCGTCCCCAGTTGGTTTTTTTACTTGTCTGCCGGTCGCAAAAAGAGGATCACGTGAGTCCGGGGAGAGGCTGTGACCGTCGTTAAGTATGGAAAAAAAATTGGTCGTTGGTCATGATTTTCCCAGTAACTGTCGCTAAACGAACAGTTATAAATAGGAGTCGGTTGGCAAGTATTCCGAATTTTGGATCAGGTGATTCCCCCCAGGTCGTTATGTGTGAAAAATGGTCGTAAGTGGAGGACTGTCTGTGTGCCAATCAATCTCCTGGAGGTGGCACGGCCCCCCTGTGATGGGGGAAGACCCTTTAATCCAGGGTCCCCCAAACTTGGCCCCTTTAAGACGGGTGGACTTCAACTCCCAGAATTCCCCATTCAACCATCCCTGTTGTTCTTTTTTCCCTCCTCCTCCTTCCTAGAGTGGAGCGATCGCAGAGGAAGGGATGACAAGAGAGGAAGCAGGCAGAGAGAGTTGAAGTCCTAGAGAAGCCGGCTGGGGGAATTCTGGGAGTCCACCAGTCTTAATTCAGGGGTCTCCAACCTTGGCAACTTTAAGACTTGTGGACTGGACTTCAACTCCCAGAATCCTCCATTCAACCATAGCTCATTTTTTTTCTACTTCCTAGAGTGGAGAGATTGCAGAGGAAGGGATGACAAGAGAGGAAGCAGGCAGAGAGAGTTGAAGTCCTAGCGAAGCCGGCTGGGGGAATTCTGGGAGTTGGAGTCCTCCAGGCTTTAAAGAGGCCATGTTTGGAGACCCCCGTCCTAACCCATCACCCACTCCCCACCCCAAGGAATGCAAACTCACGGCGGCCACAGCCTGGAGCAGCGGAGTCCGGCTTTCCTGGGCCGTGTTCACCCAGTTAACGTCGGCCCCGTGAGCCAGAGCGTCTGACATGGTGGGCAAACTGGGAGGCGCTGAGGCTGCGCGGTACAGCAGGGCCCCGGGGTGCAAATGGCGGAGATCCTCGGAGGGTGGCGGAGCACGGCTTGGGGAGACCCCCGCACGGAGCCCTGGGGGGAGAAACACGGGGTGGAAGCGGGAAAGATAAAAGAGACGTAGAGGTTAGCGACCACAGTGGGGATAAGCAAGTCGGTCGTTAAGGGAAGCGGTCGCTGAGGGGAAACCGGGACGCTGGTTTCCTTGCGATTCAGAGCTTTGAGGTCAGGAATGGAAGGATTGGTTGCAAAGTTCCCTTGTACTTGTCCCCCGTGTAAAAGATTGGATAAAAAGGCGGTTGGGAAGGAGGGAAGGGAGGGAGGAAGAAAGGAAGGAAGGAGGGCAGGAGGGAGGGTTAAGAAAGGGAAGGAGGGAAGGAAGGAAGAGGGAAGGAAGAAGGGAGGGACGGACAAAGAGGGAGGGAGGAAAGAAAGGAAGGAAGGAGGGAGAATGGGAAGGAAGGGAAGCTGGAGGGAGGGAGGGAGGGAGGGAGGAAGGGAAGGGAAGGGAAGGGAAGGGAAGGAAGGAAGGAAGGAAGGAAGAAAGGAAGGAAGGAAGGAAGGAAGGAAGGAAGGACAGGAAGGGAGGAAGAGAGGGAGGGAGGGAGGAAGAAAGGAAGGAAGGAAGGACAGGAAGGAAGGAAGGAAGAAAGGAAGGAAGGAAGGAAGGACAAGAAGGAAGGAAGGACAGGAAGGAAAGAAGGAAGGAAGGAAGGAAGGAAGGAAGGAAGGAAGGAAGGAAGAGGGAGGGAGGAAGCAGGGAAAAAGGGAGAGGGAAAGATGAGGGAAGGAGGGAGGAAAGGAGGGAGGGAAGAAAGAGGGAGAGAGGAGGGAAGGAGGAAGTAAGAGAGGGAAGGAGGGGTGAGGGAGGAAAGGAAGGAAGAGGGAGGGAGGGAGGAGAAGGGAGGAGGAAAGAGAAGGGAGGAGGGACCCTCCAGCATGGGTCAGGTAGGCGAGAGTTGTGAGGGTGTGAAGATGTGTGCAGGAGTGCGGAAGAGGCGGGTGCTGTGTGATGGCATGGTGAACGGCTGAAAGAGACGCCCTCCAGTGACTCGCAACCTTTCCCGCTGGCTTCCCCAATGACTTTCCGGGCAAGCGTTGGGACGCCTTCCCTCGCTCCCACTTCCTCCCTCTTACCTGCACCCCGGCGGATCTGGCCGGGCGGCTTGGGCTTGGGAAACGGCCGTGGGGATCTCCGCTGCTCGGGGGGCTCATTGCTGCGGCTCGGGGGCATCCCAGCGTTGGGGAACTTGGTGATAAATTTCTTTTCCACGTATTTGGCCCGGATCCAGGCTTCTTTCTCCGATCTGGACAAAGAATGACAGCTGTCACGTTTCAGATTTTGC